CCCGCGGGAGCCGCCTGGCAGAGCTAGGCCACCTTCCCTTCACCTCCACGGTTCAGGACTTCGCCGACCGTTTCCAGGCCCTGGCATGCCACGCGTCAGGTGTAACGGCGCAGCAGCGGGCCGACCTCTTTGTCGGTGGACTTCCGAATCACATCCGCGTGGACGTGGAGCTTCAGGGAACCCAGGATCTCCAGATGGCTTGTACTATGCCCGCGCGTTCGAGCGCCGCGCAGTGGCCATCCAGCAGGAATCACCGTCCCGGGCCGCAGGGTCGGCCTGCGCAGGCTTCCGCGGCACCCCTCGCCGCGACCATGGCGCGCCCGTTCCGCCGGCTCACCTCCGCCGAGCTACTCGAGCGTCGCCGCCAGGGGTTGTGCTTCAACTGCGACGAGCCCTACACGCCCGGCCACGCCTGCCCGCGACTCTTCTACCTGGAGGTTGCAGACTACATTCCGGAGGACACCGTCGACGCCGACCTGGCCGCCCCAGCTGTCGCGAAGGTGTTTGACGCTGGTTGATCACCTCGAGGAGTTCAGCAAGCGCTTCCCCACCTTACAGCTCGAGGACGAGCTGTTTGTGCAAGCGGGGAGAAGTGTTATGACCGGCATATTAGGGGTTTAGCCTAGTGGGTTGTGGCCCAAGTTATCTTATCATTATTAGGGGCTTAGCCCAATTATCTTATTGTTATTAGGATCGTTTTCTTAGGAGTCAAGTAAACCTCTCTATATAAGAAGGGGAGATGTATCAATCTAATCAGACAAGAAACAATCATTATTTGCTCGGTTTCCCTTAGGGAGCCGGGAGACCTAAACCCTAGCCGCCTCCTGCCTTCGCCGCCACTGCTCTCGTCGCAAGGATGGCGCCACGCCGCCAACCGCCGCACCAGCCCTCGCCCTCCTTCCTCCTTCCCCTACAGACTACGCCTAAGACCGGGTAGAACCCTACCTCCTACCAGAAAGTGAGTTGTGCATAAAGCAAGTTCACCATGTGAACAAGAGGTGAAATTAATCATCAGCGCACATGTAACTA